TTTATCTTGGACTTTACCAGAAGGAACCAATTTCTCTATACAATCAAGCATCCCTGGCAGCATCTCATTAGGCATGTCTCCTTCCATGCTATGAAAGAACTTGGGATTAAGGTAGAATCCAGCAGCATGAAGAGGATGATGCCATTGTTGTTCCCACCTGTGATCTATAATATTCCAATAGACCATATAGTCATCCCTCTTAACTAATTCCTTCTTAATTGTTTCTTTTGCCCGATACATTCCAGCATAAACATATCCCATTGCGGGCCTCTTTTTGCTCCCAACCATTCTCAGAACTCGAAGGAGAGGATTGGTTAACAGCGTAATCAGAACACAGGGGAACCAAAATGACTGACTACTTACTAAATCCAATATCTCCAATCCCCCTGGTTTCTTTGAATATGGGCAGTCCATCCACTCCTTTGAAGTAACCATGGCGTGCAAGTTGTTTTTATGATCAACCATCCGCTTCAATGTTGTAAAGTTTGCAGCTAAGCGAGTGACTGCTGGCTCAACAATATCATTGCCGAAAGTATGCCTTCTTACCATATTCAATACCGCACTATGGATATAGACAAATCTTGTAATAGATTGAGCTTGCTCAATTATTGCATTTACCCACTCAAGTTTTGCAAAATCTTCAAGTATCAAGTCTACACAATGAGCTGCAAAAGGGGTTCAATACAGAGCGGGGAAAGTTTTAGCTAACCTCCTCCAGCAACAACATATTGTTCCTCACCATTAGTAATCACTTGCAACACGTGCTTATATCCAACTTCTTCTAACACTTGCTTAAGCAATTCATACAGATCATCCGAGGAATTTATTACACTAGTAGCATCTACAGATTTCAAAAACACTGTTTCCTCAGGACAATACACCGAAAAATTTAGCAAGATTCTACCTGTTTGAGTGTTCCATTGGTTGACCAGAATAGAATAACCAGTCCTTACCCATGCTGCCATTACTTTTATCATTATCGCTCTTCACTTCTTCAACCAATTCTTCAAAATCCAACCCTGAAGTTCATTACATGAAGGCATTAGTGTCTGAGATCCTCCTGAGACAATAGCATCAGCCATTGGCTGGAAATAAACTGAATTAGCTGCACACAAAGGTGCTCCAATATCAAACAAAAATCGTCCTATAGCCATATGTACATGGTTGTTTACTCTCTTTTCACCTAACCTAATCATGCTAGCACTATTAGTTTGAGCAGCAGAACTTTTACCTTTTCTCTTCTTTCTCCTCTCCCCAGAAACACTACTTGTTCTTTCCTGATTATCTAAAAAACTCGAACTAGGCTCAAGCGTATCAGGTTCTCCGATCATATGCAATCCAGTATTAGCATCAACCCGATCAACAAACGTGTCTATCTCCCTGGAAACCGGCTTAACATTCATTATCTCCTTTGCAATCTTTTGTTTTTTTTTCCTCTTCTCTACTACAACCCCATCTAGATTTTCTTGCATTATGAGACGGACATCAGATGGGACATGCAAACAAGTAGAAGCTTACCCTTCCTATGAATCCCACCACCTTTAAATATTTTGCTACAATATGTATATTTCAATTGTACCCTTTCACCATTCTTAAACATTTGACAATGTTTCCATGCTGGGTCATGTTTTTGTGATGTTATCGGTATTGGTTCCAAATTTGATGCCATTTTCTCACAGAATCACAACCTTAACATGAACAACACAAAACAAAACATTCAACAAAATTATCAGGTTTTTGTCTAAGGTTGGCGATCTAACTCAAATCCGTCGCGTTTGAAGTAGTCAAGTTCTTTTTTTTTTTTGTAAAATTTGGATTTCAAATCCGACTTAAAAAAAAAATAGAATGACAAATCCACTACCCGACCTATTATATATATATATATAGATAATATTTTTTTAATTATTTATTTAATTTTATATTTATATTAAAAATAATATTATATTAATTTCGAGTTCGATTAAATTAATTGTAATTTTATGTATATATAAATAAAAAATAAATATAAAAAATAATATTTTAATATCAAAGAGTCAAATTTAAATATTTATTATATAAAATCAGGCATATAAAGTGTGTCCTATTCGGAAGTCTTGCATACGACAGAATTAGAACAGTTGCATATGACAGAATTATTAGTCTTTGCTCATAACAGAAAATAAAAAAAAAAACTGAAAATTAATAGAAATTGGAATAAACAATATAAAACTATATAATAAACATGGTAAACTAACCAATAATAAAAATTAAAAAATTAAATTAAAAAAAAAAAAAGAGAAGAACTTACTTGGAATTCTTTTGAATTGGTTTCTGGGAGAGAGAGGCAATTGAATGAGAACCGAGTTAAGGTAGTTGATGAGGGAATAATAATAAACCGAGGGTTAGGAAACCGGATGGACCGGTTGGGGTTCGGGTAAGCCGGTTGATTTAAATAATAGTTTGAGTTTAGGGACCGGTGGCCGGGGTTTTCTTTTTGAACCGAAAATTTTGCTTCTGGTTCGAGACGAATAATATATATTTTTTAATTTATTTTCTTTTAGTTTCCTTCATTTTCTTAGGAATTTTGGAAATAGGCAGGATTTAAAATTAGGGTTCTCTCCCAAAAATAATCATTATTAATAAACTAAATTTAGAAAGGTAATTGAGTTAAGTTTTGTTTTTAATTATTGCAAATTCATTTCTAAAACTTATGAAATTAATAATCACACCTTATTTCAAAATAAATTTTATTCATTGTCAATTTATCATATATTTATTTGAATATATATTTTATATATAATAACTTAATATTGACTTCCTCCATTTTATAGTTAAATTGAATAATCAAATAGGAATTAACGAAACTTGTTTTTAAAAGTTTTGAATTTTAATGTCGATATTTAATATAACAATTTTATTTTATTTTATTTTATAATATCAATGACCATCGAATACTTAAAATGATTTTTAAAATTCAAGTTATGAAGCAATAATAATTTGCAAGAAATTATTATTAAATAATTGTATGTCACTTTTATTGTATTGATTACAATAGTTCTTTTAAGTTTTGTTTGATTGATATTTTTATTATTTAATATGGTATTCGACAATGATACTGTAAAAAAATCAATTACGGCAATTTTATCAGAATTATTGAAATATTTTATCTTCTTCCTAAGCTAATTTGATTTGTATGACAATTCTTTATAGCTGAGAATGAATGAGAGGGCTTGTAGCACTGGTGTTGTCAGCTTAGAAATCTCCCTATTCTTTTTTTTTTTTCTTTTAAATAAAAAATAATATTTGATTGTGTTTGAATCTTTCTATGGCCTTCAGAATCTTTTCCCTACTCTCCAATCTTTCTTCTTTCACTTTCCTAACATCTAAGACCATATAAGTTACTGTTCATGCCATTTGTTTGCTACATTTTTATATGTTCATTTATTTCTTTTTGATGTTTTTATTGGATTTCATTTTCTTTAATGTTACTTAGTATTTTTTAAAGATGAGAAAAAATCAAAAAAATAAAAAATTAATTTAAAATTATAATGTTCGATTTAATTTAAATTAATTTTTTTATCCAATTTGAGTCGAAATTGAATATTAAATATATATATTAAGTTTGAATTAAATTTTATATGAGATGTGAAAAATAAAAAAATTGAATAGAATCGAATCGAATTATATATTTTTTAAAATTTTTATAAAATAAAAATAATTATTTTATATATAAATTTATTTAAATATATTAAAATTTTTATTCAAAAATCAATAAACTAAATAAATAAAAATAAATTCAGATCAATTTCAAAAAATTATCAACTTAAATTCAAATTAAATTTTAAAATTTTATAATATTTCATATGATAAAAAAATCGAATCATTTCTGTCAATCTACCCTTAATAACTTTTACCTACCGGACATAACTTGAGTGGCCCATTTTTTAGAACTTCGAGGATTGCTGAGTCTGAATACAGCTTGCCAACAAGAAATTTGCTCATTTGTACACATTTTTTTCAAACTAGCTAGCATTGAGACCCCATTAAAGTTTACCTTGGAATAGAAATTTGGGGACAATAGAAAGAATCTTATGCTAAAAAGCAAAGATAATGTGGGAGGCACATGATTGGCTCCTTTGAAATAAAACTCCCCCTTTATCTTTTTGTGAAAACTATGACGTACAGATACACCGCCATCTCCTGTTGCAAAAGGGTTCGATAATTAACGGCTTTAACATGTAATTATTATTATTATTTCTGTCATGGCTCATGGCTGTGCTTGGATTTGCATAAGTTTCAAGCTCCAGGAAGGATTTTGGGAAACCAACATTCAACCAATATCTGCTACACTTTTTTCTAGAGGTTAAAGTGGAAAAAACAGAGTTGTTAAAGTTGATCTGAGTTAAAATTTTGTTAAACCCGTATCTGACTTTAGTCGAATTTTATTTTACCCAAATTCGTTTAACTCGAAATTTAATATAATTCAAAGTTTGAGGATCCAAGGGATTAACCAAAAAATTTTTATTTAATCGAATTTTACAAGTATTTTTTTTGTATAAAAATTTGGAATAAATAAATTACTCAGTTTCTTATATTATGATAAATATATTATATTTGATAAACTAAAATAAATGATTAAAGATTTTATATTAAGATTATCGGTTGGATTCAAATCTAAAAATTTTTTATTGAAAAAGAGAATCATTGCCGATTGAACTAAAAACTTGTTGATAATTTGAAAAAGAGAATATTGTTTGAGGCAAAAGCTCTTGAATTCTGATGATTCAGTGCTTAAGTTCTTCAATTATGCAATATCAAGTATATAACTACTTTTTTAGTTTTGTAAAATTAAGTTGAAAAGGTTTAATCTATTTATTATGAGGGTTAAGAACAAAAATGTAATGCGAGAAAACAGGGTACAGAAAAGAAGACTAAGAAAAAGTAACCTTTTTTTTTTTGTATCTGTTAGGAAACTGTATTTACAGTTGCAGCTATTCAAAGTTCAAATCTTTGTTGGTGCTAGAAAGAGGGAGACCACTCTTGACATGTACACTTAGCAACCAGCAAGCAGTTTCTTCATCAATTGAAACCAAATGCCAACCTCTTCTAGTCTCTTCTTCTTCTTCTTTGTCTTCTACATTTTCATCTCCTTATCCTTGACAGGTTTTAGATTTTCCCACATTTTGTTAAAGATTTCTTTGGTGCAATACTTTGTTGAGGGACTAATTGTTTTGCTTCTTGATGTTTTATTGCAGATGGCATCCAACTCATACTAGTAAACGACTGTCAGGAAAGCATATGGCCTGGAATCCTGGGCAGTGCAGGCCATGAGACTCCCAGAGATGGTGGGTTCCATCTCCCCTGTGGTGAACAGACTGTCCTGGAATTACCTGAACGATGGTCAGGTAGAATCTGGCCTAGACAAGGCTGCTGTTTTGACCAAACAGGCAAAGGTTCATGCCAAACTGGAGATTGTGCGGGGCTTTTGCAATGCAAAGGCATTGGAGGAAACCCACCAGCAACTCTTGTTGAAATGACACTTGGGGGTCCAACATCTGCTTTACATTACTATGATGTGAGTTTGGTTGACGGATTTAATGTTCCTGTCTCAATGGTTCCAATAGGTGGTGGTGTGGGATGTGGGGCGGCAGCTTGTGAGGCTGATCTGAATGTTTGTTGCCCTGCTGCCTTGGTTGTGCAGAAAGAAGGGAAAATAGTGGGTTGCAAGAGTGCATGTTTAGCTGCAAAATCTGATAGGTATTGCTGCACTGGAGAGTTTGCCAATCCCAAAAGTTGCAAACCTACCATTTTTGCTAATCTTTTTAAGGCCATTTGTCCCCGGGCTTATAGCTACGCTTTTGATGATTCTTCAAGTCTTAAGACTTGCAGGGCTCCTCGCTATCTCATTACCTTCTGCCCTCCTAATTGATGATGTGCACCACCTGTCTATCGTGGTTCGAGTTTTTAGTCTGTCATGAGTAATTTATGTCTGAGTTGAAGCTGATAAGAAATCTAGGACTCTAGATTAGAATAAAAGAGTAGAAAATTTGGTAGATTGTTAAAATTGTGGCTTCATTGTATGTTCATGTATTGATTTCATGGTAGATGATGATCCTTTCTGTGATTATTTTTATGTTTTTATCTGTTAACTGTTCTCTTTTTGCTTCATTGGTAGAAATTGAATCTTTACCTGTTCCAACCTGCCCCAATCCATTTCTTTGATGACTTGAATCCAAAATCTCAGTCTTCTTAAAAATTGAGAAACCATCAAATGCAAATTCATTACATTGAACGTGGTGTAATTATGTGATTTTAACAGGTTTTTCTATGGCCTTCCACGTTGAGAAACAGTCCTTTTCTTTAAGTTGCTATAAAGGTCCACCTCGAAGAAGGAAAAAAAAAAATCTCAGTAGAATATATGCACCAAATCACACCAACAATCCTTTTCTATGGTCACATCGCCATAATTGATCAAAAATAGAATTTGGGTTGTTTTTCTCTGAACCAAGAGAAATGTATAAGTATAGTCTCATAACTTTCTTTAATTGAATTGCCACCTTTATATCAGTGACACTTCAGAAAATCATCCCATTTTCAAGCTAATATTCTTAAACTAGCAAGTCAAACAAGAAGTAAAGCTCCAAAATTGCCAGAAAGGAATCTTGAAGAAGATCAACTCCAGATTCCCATAGCTTTGAACTCATCAAAAGCAATGTTCTTGTAATTTGTTTATATAAGCCTGGCATTAGAAACCAATATTTAGCAATTTCAGATGGATTTGAAAGTTGAAAATGGATGCAATCAAGAAGATAAGGGATTGAGTTGGGGGAAGTCTTTGCCAGTGCAAAGTGTCCAGGAAATAGTGAGGAATGATTCTCAACCAGTTCCCGAAAGATACATTCAGGAACACAAGGACAGGCCATTAGTTTCTGAGATCTTTCCCACTTCACTTGAAATTCCAATCATAGATTTTTCCTTGCTAGCCAAAGGAGATGAACATGAAAGAAGGAACCTAAACCTTGCTAGCAAGGAATGGGGATTTTTTCAGGTAAATAAACAATTAAACTTGTATCAGATTTTGTGATTTAATGAATACATGAAATGCAATAATACTTTTACAGATAACCAATCATAGTGTGGGAGAGGAGACACTGCACAAGATGAAGACAGCTGTGGCAGCTTTCTTTGAGCTGCCGCTCGAAGAGAAAAAGAAGTATGCAATGGCAGAGAATGGTCTTCATGGGTATGGACAAGCCTATGTTGTCTCAGAGCAGCAAAAACTAGATTGGTGTGACACCATTGCATTAATGACTCTCCCTCCTGAAATTAGGAGATTCGAGTTCTGGCCACTCACTTTACCAGGTTTCAAATATGTAATCATTGATTGATCCTGTTAATGTATATAAATATCCACCAGTACACCCAAGAAATGGCTGTTTATTAATCTGCAACATGATGAGAAGATACCATCCTACAATAAATTTTCGCAAGGAATCCTGAGGGTTAAGCCTTGGATATTTGAATTGTTTTCTATATATGTTTCACATTTCTTTTCTTATAATTGATTCGCAGAGAGGCAGTGGAAGTATGCTCAAAAGAAGTACCGAAGGTTGCTGAGGAGATCAATGCTAACTTATCAGTATTCATGGGGATGGATAGAGATGGTCTAAAAAGGTTGCAAGGAGAGCTCAAACAAGGATTCAGAATGAACTATTATCCACCATGCTCAAGGCCTGATCTTGTTCTTGGTATTAGCCCTCATTCTGATGGAAGCTCACTAACTTTGTTTCTGCAAGATGATGAGATCACTGGCCTCCAAATTAAACACAAAGAAGAGTGAATTCCTGTTAAACCAATTCCAAATTCTCTTGTGGTGAACATTGGTGACGTTGTTGAGGTAATTGTAGCTATCAAAAATACATTGCTGTAGTGTTTGAGAGTTCAAAAATACTTTTGAATGATAAATTGATGCTTTATTATTGATTCAAAGGAACCCTGTATGATTTTGTTTCCTTTTGTGTTTCAGATTTTGAGCAATGGGATGTACAAAAGCATTGAAAACAGAGCCATCACAAATGAGAAGAAAGCAAGGGTTTCAATAGCAGCATTTGTATTTCCGGATGATGGACAAGAAATTGGTCCACTTGACTCAATGGTGGATGATCACCATCGCCCTAGAATGTATCAAAAAGTCAATTATGTTGATTACATCAGGCAAATTTTAGCTAGAAAAATGGAGGGGAAAGCTCACATTGACCTGGTGAAGATGGAAAACAAGTAGCTCCAGCTTTTCTCTTAAATTATGTATAATCAGATGAAAGTGTTGCATGTAAATGAAGAAAAAAAATGCCATACTGATATAGTTTTAATTTAATAATACGTTAAAAAAACCATGTGCTCTGCATTTTTCTGACCCTTGATTTGCATTATAAGGAATTCTTTCATAGCCTCCCATGGTCTAAGTTGAGAAAATTCTTGTTGGAATCAATTCAAATCTAGATCCTTACTTTTTCCTCATTAGAGATTATAAAACTTCTTTCTATAAAATCTAGAATCTTCACCTACCAATGCTTTTTTTTTTTTAAAGGAAAAACAAGTTAAAATTTCAAGTTGAGGGATTCTTCTTCGATGATGTCTGAGTGTGTACATAAGCTAGTACTCCAGACTTGAATTCTGATAATTGAAGTTTCCTATTTATATATTCCACATACTAATAAATCAGCAAGTCAAACCTACACCTAGACATGATAATTTAAAGCATGACATAAGTAATAAGATATTAAAATGAAACGAAAAATATAAAAAAAATGATACAAAATTTTAGCATAAATCATAACGAGTTTAATAAAAATAAAAAATATATATTTTATGTTTTTCGTATCATTTCAAATTATAACAAATAACTTTTGAATAAAATACCGTATAAATATATGAATTCATAATATTTTACATGATTTGAATTCATAATATGAATTCATTATTAGGTCTAGTCAAAATCACCGAAGTAAAGAGAAAATTACCTGGAAAAGGTTTCTTGACTTAAGATCTAACTTTTTACACCTGGCCAGTAGACTGAGAACCATGATATAGCCGGCTACAGATCCTCAGGATGCTCCTGGAAGATTACAAGAAAACAAAGGACAGGGCCACTAGTGTCTGAAACCTCACCAGCTTCACTTGAAATTTTCTAGACATAGATTTTTCTTCGTGAGCCAAAGGAAATGAAACCTGAAAGAAGGAAAGCTAGGATGTGAGTGTGGTTGATAGACTTGGGCTAATGTTCCTGTCTCATTCATGCCAAACTGGACATGGGTGGTGGCTTAAGATTAGGGCTGGTTACATTCAGCCCTCCTAGTTGATTGAATTATATTTAATGCTAGTAATTGCTGACCGCTCAGCTTAATTTCTTGTTATTTGATTCAAGTTTTCCTTCAATTACGGTGAAACTTGTTAAATTTCCATTGCTTTTATCTGTTATGTTTCAGATTTTATTGAATTCCAATCCTCTGGTGTTATACTACATGACCCTTTTCACTGTGATTCCAAAAATTCCAACCCAAAATCTAAGCTTCCTTATTATAATACGAGACACCAATCAAATTGAAAAATTTTTTCCAAAAGTGATACCTTTTAGACCAGAGGACTTTTGCCCCATATTTCCAGTTTCTTGGCAATAAACAAGTTGTGTATAATTGTGTGAACCTTTTCTTTTATCAATTAAGCATGTTTATCGCTAAGAAACTTGCGAGAAATCTGGACAAAAGGTCTTATGGTCGTCTCATAACACCCAGGTTGTTAGAATGTAAAAAAAAAATTTAGTGAATCTTTAAATTTTGTCTGAACATTTATATTTTTTATGATTTTAAGGATCCGTTATCTCATATCGGTTTAGTGCATTTAATATTTTAATTTCAAAATGCTTGTCATAAATATCAAATTTAGATTGACAAAAAAAAAAAAAAAAACGTCTTAACTCGAATTCTAGAATGAGAAAGTAAAAATTTGGATAAAAGAAAATTACTTCAACTATATATATTAAAAAAAAAAGTCAAATTAAACCAAATTATAAGTTTAACAAGTTTTTCAATGCCTTTCCTCATCTAGAAAAGTATGGGCCTTAAAAATTTATTTCTTTGACAAAGAAATGCATCAAATTACATTGAAATAAATCTTTTTCTCCTGTCATGGTTCATAAATTTGATTTGTCCAAATTTGTACAAAACCGGCACCTCATAAATTTCTTGCAAGTTCGAATTTTATTTTTCTTATAGCTAAAAACCAAAAACAATAGCAACTAATAACCGCCATTGACTATTGAAAAAAAATCGCATAATTTTAAATTATTTACTTTAGACAAACTTTTTCTCTGGCCTTGACGGAAGCAATTTAATTTTCTTGTCAGAATTTGCGTATATAAACCTGAAGACCCTTTAGGAAACCAAAATATTGAGAAACAATAGAAAAAAAAAATGGATCTGAAAGTTGAAACTGGAGGAGCTTACAAAGATGAGAGATTGGGTTGGGGCAAATCTTTGCCAGTTCCAAGCATCCAGGACATTGTCAGGAATGATTTTCAATCAGTTCCTGAAAGATACATACATGAAAACATGGACAGGCCACAAGTGCCTGACAACTTGCTTGCTTCACTTGAAATTCCTATCATAGATTTCTCTTTGCTAACTAAAGGAGATGAAGATGAAATAAGGAAGCTAGACTTTGCCTGCAAGGAGTGGGGCTTTTTCCAGGTAAAAACCATGTCCCAACATGTATTTATGAACTATTGTGCCTGATCTTTTGATGTCATGAATCCTGAAATGTAACACTATTTTTTTTTTTTCACAGATAATAAATCATGGGGTTGGAGAGAAGGTCCTGAATAAGATGAAGGCAGCTGTAGCAGCTTTTTTTGCACTGCCACTCGAAGAGAAAAAGAAGTATGCAAAGGCAGCAAATGAAATTCAAGGATATGGGCAAAACTTTGTCGTCTCGGAGGACCAGAAACTTGATTGGTCGGACATGATATACTTAATCACTGTCCCTCCTGAAAACAGGAATTTCAAGTTCTGGCCACTTACTTTACCAGGTTTCAAGTATGTATATTCTTTCTTTTTTGCATGCCACTAATACAACAAAGAGACGTGTCACACCCCAGGCCCAAGCAATATTTGACTAACAACATCTTTTTCAGGCCTAAATCAACCATCTTTGAAATTAAGCTTAAGCGTTACTAACAGTGAATTAGTTGAACTTTAGGTTCACACATAGTTAGTATGGGATAATACTCAAATAAGTTATAGAATTTTATTTAAAATTAAAATTATATTTTTGGTTTTTAATACCAATTATAATACCCAAGCTCAATCACTATCGGTCTCACACCCAAATCTCTAAATGAAGTTTTTTTTTTTTTTTTTTTGTACTGTCAATAGACGTGTTTAAGTGCTTGATTCATCTCGAGTCAGCTTTGAACAAGAGATCTGAAGTTTGATTCAGGTCAAAATCTTTAAAAATTACTAAAAAATGTTTCTATTTAATTTTAATTTTGCAATATATTAAAAATATTTAATATTAATATTTTAACATATATTTTAAAAAATTAGGCCTATTGAACCAAAACTTGACTTAGCATAAAGATTTTCCAAATTTAATGGTTGGATATTAAATCTTAATTACTGAAAAATAAAAAAAAAAATTTCTTGTCTGATTTTAAGGCTGCAATCCTAGGATGTAATTGAATTGTTCTTTATCTTACATTTTCATTTCTCATGATTGTTTTCAACAGAGAAGCAGTTGAAGAATACTCAGCAGAAATACAAAAGGTTGCTGAGGAAATCTATGCTAACTTTTCAGTTTTAATGGGACTGGATAGAGATGGTTTAAAAAGATTGCAGGGAGAGCTCAAACAAGGAATAAGAATGAACTATTACCCTGTTTGTTCAAGGCCTGATCTTGTTCTTGGTATCAGCCCTCATTCTGATGGTAGCACATTCACCTTGCTTCTGCAAGATGATGAGGTCACTGGCCTCCAAATTAGGCACAAAGAAGCCTGGATTCCTGTTAAACCAATTCCAAATTCCCTTGTGGTGAACATTGGTGATGCTACAGAGGTAACTAAAGTTTCCAAAACTTACATCGCTGAAGATTTTTGACAGTACAGTTTTAATTTTTTGATATAAACAGATGAAAATAGAAACAGAGATTGCAAATGTCAGATTAAAAAGGTGAACTAAAAATGACTAAAAAATTGACAGACAGTAAAGGATTTGATTAACGGGTGCCAACAAACCTGAGTTAAGGATAATTAAAATATTATTTTTTAAAAGAATTTTGCATTTAACACATCTATTTTTACTAAATTCAAAACCTAATCAGTGCCACCAGACACCCGTTAACATTTTCCTATTATCATTATTCAAAAGTGCCCTTACATTTATTGTCCTTTCTTTTTCATTATTTTCTTCAGATTCAGAGCAATGGAATGTACAAAAGCATTGAACATAGAGCCATCACGAATGAGGAGAAACCAAGAATATCAATTGCAACATTCATGTTCCCAGACGATGAACAAGAAATTGGTCCGCTTGAATCAATGATAGATGATCACCATCACCCTAGAATGTACAGAAATATCAAGTACATTGATTATATCAGGGAAAAGTTTGCCAGGAGAATGGAGGGAAAAGCACACACTGATTTTGTGAAGTTAACAAGGAAGTAAACTCTAGTTGCTTTCTCATTTTCTTCACTAGCTGGATTAAAATGCAGCTACTAAATAAAAAATAATAATGTCAATGATCAATAATTTGCTCATGCAAGCAAATAGTTTTTTTTTTTATTAAGAATTATAAGATATAATGTATCTTGATATATACTCTATCACATGTGACATATAATAAAATAATATTTTTATTACTTTCTTGATTTGGTATTCCTATCATTTTTATTTTTTTTATTATATTAAAAATTAAATTTAATAATTCATGTATTAATATTTGTTTATATCATGTTTGATACGTATAAAACATATACTCTATTTTTTCTAACTATTAATTTGAATTAGAAAGAAATCTTTCATGGCCTTCCATGGTTGATCTCATATTTTGACTTTAGAGGATAAGTTGCCATGCATTCTAATTTTTCTAAGAAAAGAAATTTCCTATTGAACTCAATTTAAACATTCTGACCTCATTAGAGATTAAACTTCTTCTGACCAAAGAGATAAGTCTTGAATCTTCACCTATCAACCTTTCTTTATTGGAAAAAAATTAAAATTTCAAGTTGGATGATTAATTGTGCAATGAATACCAAAGTATTTTTTCTAGTGATCCTGCCTTGAATTCTGAGCATTGACTTTATAAAATAGAAGTGACATGTGCTTAGTTCTTTAAGATTTTTATTGATCCAATGACAAGAACATATAATAAACACTTGAAAATTCTAGCATATAATAAATTTGGAAAGTTAAACTCCAAAATTCTCAAATTTTCTTAAAATAAAGATACTATCAAATTATAAAATTAATAAAATTCAAGATTTAATTCAATTAATTTTAAAAATAACATTGAATAAATTTAAATTTTAAATTTTAATATTTACAATCTTCTTTTTTTATCTTAAAACTATGAATCTTTTTTTTTTACGAAAAAAATACGAAGTTAATAACATAAGAATTTTCTAAGTTATACAATTTAATAAGTTTTTCTACGGACGAATCTACATAAAAACATACGTTGAGTTTTTGAATTTCTTTTGGGTTTATTACAAAAAATTTCAAAAGTTTTGAAATTCAAAGTTTTCCTCTGTTGAAAATCTTTGTAAACATATTTGCCCCACTAAATTAAGGCTCATACATGAATTTTTTATTGTTTATATAGTGATTGAACATTAACACTTTGAGTGCTAAGTAATTTCATTATAATATATATTTATATATATTTTAAAATTTGTAAAAAATTAAATAAATTAATTTTAGAGAGTTTAAAATTGTTAAACTTCTAATTTCTCTTAATAATTTGTTTAAATTGATACAAGATGATCTAATAAAGGTTAAAGCTTGCACTACTTAAATGGTTTAATCGCTTTTTAACACCAAAAAATAACTCATAAATTAAGAAGTAATAAAAATAAAATAAATAATCATCTTTAACTAATATAAATTTATGTTTTCATTTTTCTTTTCATTGTATGTAAGAAAAAATTATTTTTTATTTCTCAAATTATAATGAAAAAAAAATCAAATATATTTGTTTATTAAAAATAAATGATAAAACTGAACATATTAAAAGTAAATAATAAAATTAGTCATGTTAATTTTACTTCCTTTTTTCACATATTATATCTATTTTAAAGAATTTTTTAAGTAAAATTTTATTAAATTAATATATCTATATATGTGTGCCTACTATTGAAGATGATTTATCTAAATAGTATTTAGGCTATATTAATAAAAAATTATATAATTAATTATGTAAATATTATTTATATTGCAAAAAAAAATTATACGTGTCAATTTTATTTATAATTTTTAAAATTAGTTTGTATTTTAATAAAAAAAATTAATTAATTTAAAATATTTACTCCACTGATAAAAAATTTACGTCCGTCCCTGGATTTGTATGGTGCATATTGACAAGTAGCGGTAACAGGGCCCTATCAATCTATTTCTCTAAACAAGCATATGCATCCAAACAATCCTTGTCTTTTATCTTAGCACCATAATTACTGTCTTTCTTGTAACAATGACCAACAATTTAATAAATGGCTAATGAATTGACGAAATCATTTCCCAAGGTCAGCCACTATTTTTAACCACAGAAGGAAAGCTCCAAATTTTTGGTAGAGAGGAGGAAGCCAGTTTCCCATAGCATTTAATTCAGCAGAAGCAATTTTGCAGTCAATTTGTTTGTTCAAACCTGATCCTAGGAAACCAACATTTAGTAACTATAAATGGAGCTGAATGTTGAAAAAGAAAGTGTTCAGAGAGGTGAGAGATTGGGTTGGGGTAAGTCTTTCCTAGTGCCAAGCGTTCAGGAGATAGTGAGGAATGATTCTCAATCAGTTCCTGAAAGATACATACAAGAACAAAAGGACAGGCCACTGATATCTGAGAACCTGCTTGCTTCACTTGAAATTCCTGTAATAGATTTCTCCTTGCTAGCTAAAGGAGATGAAGATGAAATACAGAAGCTAGACCTTGCTTGCAAGGAATGGGGTTTTTTCCAGGTAAATCCTGACATATATTTATGAACTATTGTGTCTGGTCTTTTGATGTAATGAATCCTGAAATGTAACACTGTTTTTACAGATAATAAATCATGGGGTGAGAGAGGAGGTCTTGAATAAGATGAAGGCATCTGTAGCAGCTTTTTTTGAACTGCCACTCGAAGAGAAAAATAAGTATGCAAAGGCAGCAAATGAAATTCAAGGATATGGGCAAAACTTTGTAGTCTCGGAGGACCAGAAACTTGATTGGTCTGACATGATATACTTAATCACTGTCCCTCCTGAAAACAGGAATTTCAAGTTCTGGCCACTCACTTTACCAGGTTTCAAGTATGTATTCTTTCTTGGTCCTGTTGATTCATATAAAATTTGCTAGTAGTCAGTTAGTTGAACTTGGGGCTGGGAAATGCTATAATACCAACTGTAATGCCTCAAGCCCGATTGCACCACCGCTTCTGCAATTTTTCAAGTCTAAACCACTAGCCTTCAAAGTTTAAGCTAATGTTGCTACTATTGACTGATTTGCACCTACATACACGTTTCCATCAACTATATTCCCATAGCGATTTGGTATTTCCACAAAAGTAATAATTAAGATCTAGTTTTGACGAAAAAGAGTAGACTAATTTTAAGGATATGCAATCCGTTTTGATGTGATTGAATTGTTTTTTGCGTCGCATATTTTTTTTTTCACCACTGTTTTCACAGAGAAACAGTGGAAGCATACTCAAGTGAAGTACAAAAGGTTGCTGAGGAGATGTATGGTAACTTATCACTATTGATGGGGATCGATAGAGATGGTCTGAAGAAGTTGCAAGGCGAGCTCAAACAAGGAATAAGAATGAACTATTATCCTGTTTGTTCGAGGCCAGATCTTGTTCTTGGTATTAGCTCTCATTCCGATGGCAGTCTATTCACTTTGCTTCTGCAAGATGATGATATAACTGGCCTCCAAATTAAGCACAAAGAAACATGGATTGGTGTTAAACCGATTCCAAATTCTCTTGTAGTGAACATTGGTGATGCTACTGAGGTAGTTTACAGAATAGTGGTAATTCAATGATTCAACTCTTTTATGATCAATTAGAAAGCAATCTTGCATTATTTTCTCTTGTTTCTCAGATTCTGAGCAACGGAAAATACAAAAGCATTGAACATAGAGCGTGCACGAATGAGAAGAAACCAAGAATGTCAGTTGCAACATTTGTGTTTCCAGATGATGAAGTGGAAATAGGTCCCCTGGAATCAATGATGAATGGTAGCTATCTCCCCAGATTGTATAGAAATATCAAGTACGTTGATTACATCAGGCAAAAGTTCAGAAGGAAAATGGAGGGTAAAGCTCACACTGACTTTGTGAAGTTAGAAAGCAAGTGATCCTGGCTGTGTTCTCCATTTCTGTACTATTATTAGATGGAAGTGTGGCAAATAAAGATGATAAATCTTAGGAGTTAGGACTATGTAGTTTGCTCAGATATGCAATACTAGAAACCTGAATGCATTTAGTTTGGTGGTACAAGGTTGATTCAGAGTAAACTGTAAACCAAATATCTTGATTTCAACTTTCTGTACATGGGATATAACGTATGTGTATCTCCAATGGATTGTTGTTGCCGTAAATTTGTTCTTTTCTTATGTTGAAAACTAAGGACATGGTTTATCTCAGAGCAGGGCACAACAACCGTTCCTTTCATTCTAAATGATAGGGATATTTTTGGATTTAAAGGGTAAATTAATCATTTCTTTTAGCTTGTCAGTAGATAATCAAGAGTATTTTTTATTTTTGAGAGGACCTGACATATCAATGATATGTCAACTCGACTACATCATTATTCTATCTCACACATCTTCACCTTTCGCCTCTAAATAAAGCTGTAAGTACTATCTATCCATCTTACTTTTCTTCTTTTTGTTTTTATTTTTCATTCTTCTTCCGACCTATTAAAACTGATCTCATATTTAAACATCAAAATATAAATGTGAGAAATACTCTTTACCTTTACTCTTAACCGCTTTCTTTCTTTTATGTGATTTTAATATTCTCACACTTGGCTCCGAGCTCGATGTCAACACTAACCATCAATTTACTTTATAAAGAGTTCTTCCATCGTTCATCTCATGCTTTTGACTTCAGATGCATATTTAATCCACAGATAAAGTTGCAAGAAGAGCTCAAACTAGGAATAAGAATGAACTATTACCTTGCTCGTTCAAGGCCTGATCCACCGCTTAATTTACTTAGTTACTGATGATTAATTATAGCACTTTACACAAGCTGTTTCCTATGGCCTTAAGCCTCCAATAGGATTGTGTTAAGGCCTTAATTCTGGGCGATTCATAGTCAAGATTACCTGTTACAGCATCGAACAAACGCCAATCAAAGCCCATCATTTATGCAATTGAAGAATTGGATAATGGAAAACCAAAAAAAAAAATCTCTAGGAAAATAAAATAAAAAATAATTTTCCTATGAAAATTGGGATTAACTTTGACTATTGCAATTGAATAAATGTTTATTGACTAAAACAAAAACAATGAATCTATTTAGTAATTTATTTTGAAAATTATTTTCATTAAATTTGGTTTATATTTTATAATTTTTTATTAAATTGTTTATTCATTAAATATTAAAATTTTTTAATTTTCTTTTTATAAGGTTATTTTGAATATTTTATACTTAATAATTTTTTTCACAATAATCAAAAATCACCAGTGATCAAATCACTTTATAAGTGATCTTATCAACATGTTAATTAAATTACTACAATAATTTTAAAAATGATACTAAATTTATTTTTAAAATGATTGCATAAATCAACTAAAAAAATAAAATCTATATATAATTTTGATTAGAAATTGGAATATTATTAAATTCAACTTGTATAATAATGAGATTTTTATGAAATTATATTAGAGGGATTAAATTTAAATTTCGTCTAAATACATGGACTATTTATGTAATTTAACAATTAATTTCATCCATCCAATTTATGAAATCATCAAGTTAACAGCTACATCAGTATTTTTAACGACAAAAAATTAATGAAATTAGTGATTAAACTAAAAATATCAAATCAAAATAATATGAGAACTAAATTTATATAAATTATAATATAAAGACAAAATTCCAAAATTTGACTGTGTAGGAACTTCTGACATAATTTTACCTTTAAAAGACTATGGAATGGTTAATTCATATGAGCATTGATTGCATGTTTGTTGTTCTGCACAATGACGCAAATCATGTTAACTTATAGTCATCTTTGCGCAAAATTTAATGATCCTTCCAGGACTGAATGCCTCTGTTATCACAATGCTGAACGCAAGGCTATTGAAGTTTTTGCATGCATCACTCCTTGATCTGTTTGTTATGCAGGATATAGAATTGTTGAGCTGGACCAGAAGACTAAAATTTTCAAAGGGCTTGATGGACGTGTTATGCTTGTGTGCAAGGTGAAGTCGAATTGCATCGTTAATGTGATGTGTTCATCTAGGTAAAAATTTAGATGCATGTTATAAGCTGTGCATTTTGCCATTCTGGCTTGCCTTCCGAGAAAGACAAGATCAATGATACTAGTTTTTATGACGTCCAGAACTTATCCTCCTAATACTCGTTTCCAATTATAAAATGATCATATGCTTTGTATGATCATCACAGATACCAATTATGATCAAACCCCCCACCTGCTTGCCGAGGCTCGTCAAGCCGGCTAACACCCGGCAGGCACTAGGCGGAACGAAATACAAATCATATATGCCTAGTAAAGGCCAATATGGAATTAAAATGGCTAGAATCAAACCAGAATATCAATCCTGGCGGCTCAACATGACAGAAAATATCAGGATATTGGAAAAGTTCAGTAAATTAGGAAAAAGATAACTCCATACAGAAGAAAATTTTCAGACCCAACTAAACACAAGAGGCTCTCTCAACCTGGTAAGATTTTTACAGTCACGATCACAAATTTACTACGTCCTCGCTTTTTACAACCTTAAAACTTGTACAGCAACTTTATCTCCTCTGCAGATAAGGCATCAGCTGATTCACCATCGGTGCCTCAGCTAACCTGATTCTAGGTATATCCTCAAACTACAATGTACAATTTTAAGTACAACCAACAAATTTTATTTCCAATCAGCTCCTATCTATCCAAATAAATAGACAGGGCTATCACTAGACATTAAAGAGAAAGAAGAATGCAAGCGGCACCTCATACTATCCTCAGTTACCTGTACAACAAGTTCATTTCCTACACCGTCTAAGCTGCCAGGTTTGGAGTCAGAATGCTGATCCTCCTCTCTGCAAAAGATGAAGCACCATTATCAGGATGGTATTTCCAAACTAAAGGGGTATATCATATGTCTGCAGTTCTAATAGGGGAAAGAGTAACATTGCTTGTACGTCATGAACAACAAAGGCAGACCAAAATATCTCCAACAATGAAGTCCATTTGCAGTATGCAAAGTGCCAGAAATGAGACCATCAGGGTGATTTTGTCCAACTCAAAGGCCACAGGTGTGCAACAGTGCAAGTATTCTTTCTCCAGAAATAATAAAAAAAAAAGAGAAAAATCATAAATACAAAGTCCTATTTCAAAGTGCTATTTGTTAGAAGATAAAAAGTCTGGGTATTCCAAAAAAACCCATTAAAATGGTTAATAGTACAAATTTCTATTTAGCACCATTCTCCAGTTTTTAGTAATCAGACATTAACATTATGAAACAGGAGAAATCAAGTGCAATTACCTCCAGCTGCAACAAGTTTCTCTACACGTGCAACTATATGCTTCCCATAAGTATATTTCTTCAGAGCATTCAAGTGAACCTTTATTCGGTTGAGGATTAGTTCAAGCTGCTGGTCATCACAGGTTTCCAGCACTTTTTGTACAACATAGTTTGCAAACTGATCTTTCATCATCACCTAACAAGAATAAACAAAAATCCATATAACGAAAAGAAAGATGAGAAACCATAGAGCAGGCAATAACCAGGTAAAAGCATTGAAACATAAAACAAAAAGATCACCGTCCTTCATATGGTTTTCAAACAAAGAAACCTTGTAATTTGGTGGTCAAACGTCACAAATAAAACTATAAAAGAACCATTCACATGAGAATAGAGGTTATATTCTCAAGATTATGATTAAGCAGCCACACGAGAGATATTTGCAAAACCCTGAGTTTGTATCAACAGGAACCATGATACTTTCATGGGCAGTAAAGCAAGACAGGAAATTACTAGACATGCTTTAAAGCTTTTCAGATTAGTCAACACTGGGTGCATAGGGAGAATGACAAACCTGAAGGGGCTCATTTTCATCAGTGGAACCAAGCATCTCATCGACCAGGTTTTGGCGTTCAGCGGGAGTTCCAAAAGTTAAACACTTTTCTATAACATTAGACGCAAACTTCTGCTGGCTCATTTGAACTATCTGCCCGGTTAGTTTCTTGATTATAGCAGAGCGTTCATGTTGTTTGCCTTGCTCCAGAACATGCTGTAATATTATTAGAAGCAAGCAATTAGAAGAAGAGGATTCTAAACATACAAATACAAAACTGTAAAAGACAGGAAGAAGATCTTTTGCGAATTCTGAACACAAGACAGGTCAAAAGATTCCTGGCACTGAAGCAATGGCTGCAAGCAGAGTTCACTTGATGCTTTAAAACATCATAATCATGGATTAATGATTTCAATGTATATGCATAAACTCTTCAAGCTCTCAAGTAGAACTTGTCCAGCATTTTATAATTTGAGTCGAGTATTGGGAGGATAAGTTCTGGTCATCATAAAAAACTAGGATCATTAATCTTGTCCATTCCACTTCTGTTTCAGAAGGCAAGACAGAAATGCAAAATGCAGCTTATAACATGCATCTAAATTTTTACCTTGATGAACAGATCTCACATCATACTCACAGTAGATCTAAAATTCCCATAAGTTAGATGTTTTCTCATCAACCATGAGACTCAACTTCACCCAGCAAGGAAGTATGGCAAGAACATATTTTTCTATCATCAAAGAATTCAAAATCCAAACTACAAAAGAATTATTCTCTCAAGACTACATGGAAAAGATAAAGAGCTGCCAAAATAAATAACAAACCTGTACAACATAATTCCCATATTGGTCTTGTGCCAACATGCAAACAGACTGGAAAATTTCATTCATCATTACATGCTGGGTTTTTGCTTCATGACAATGCTCCAGAACTCTCTGTAGCATAAGATATGTACCATTATGAAGTCAGACTTTGAACTTACTTTTCCCAGGCCATGATACTAAATGAAAAACATATGAAAGTATCAACACTAAGTGTTTAAACCTGGATGACTCGACAGCCATATGGATGAATGGATAGCGTCACAACTTGATCATAAAATGTGGAAACAATAAACTGAATAGCATCTTCAGGTACACATTCTATACACTTCTGGATGACATGGTTCCCATTCTGATCACGCACACAGCGCATAATATGTCCATCAAGCTCTTTGACCATTTTAGTCTTCTGGTCCAGCTCAACAACTTCTATAGCCTGAATAACAGATCAAGAAGCAATACATGCAAAACTTAAATACCATTGCAATGTCAAATATAACAGAATACATCAGACAGCATTATAATAAAACAGGTATTCTGTCTTGATACAATCATTAAATTTTAAACAACAATGACTATAAGTTAATATGATTTGCATCATTGCGCAGAATAACATGCATTCATTAACCATTCCATAGATTTTTGGATAAATGATTGAGAGAGCTTCAGCTGAAGAACGAGGTTTCACATGAACTAAAGAGTATCCACAACAGGTGTGTCACTGTTTGAGAAATGCACCTTCTGGATCACTCGACAGCCATACATTTGAAGGCTAAGCGACAACACATGCCCAGTCAGCTGGTTGGCAAGTTCTCTTATTTGGGAAGCAGATCCATGCTCAAAAAACTGTATACAAATATATCCACCCAGATAAAGTAATCAGTTGATGAGGTTTAGGTACAGAATTTGCAGGATGATTGAACAAATTACCAAAAAAAAAAAAAGACCAAGAAGAAGAAGAATACTTAAACCTAACAAGCATGTCATAAGAAATTTGACGAAAAATACCTTTTGAATCACATAATTACCAAACACATCAGTCATTAATGAAAGTGCTTGGGGCGTGATTTCATGGAAAACCATGTTTTTCTCTTCTGTTGTGGCTGTCTCAAGTTTCTGCTGAATAAATCGACTCCCATACTGATCGATACTGTTCATATAAGGTAGTAAATAAAGGTATTAAGTTTTAGAAGTCCAAAACAAGTGGACAAGAGTTTAAACCAATTATTTACCTGAACTCAACAACATGACCAGCAATTTCTGAAAGTTCAAAACATTTAGTTTTGTTGCGTTTAAATTCACCTAGCAAAGAGAGTGCAAAACTTTCATCCAAGTTACCAGCAGCTTCTGAATGCCAAGCCCCCATGACTCCACCAGATACATTCCTCAACCCAGAAGCAAAGGGCATGTTCTGGTTACTGTGTCTGACAGGACTTCCAGCAACAGGAGAGTTTGGAAAAAGGGGACCAGCCAGTGGTCTTCCAGGATATGACATGCCTAGACCAAATGTTGGATTTCCGTAGTATGATTTCTGCAGTGCCCCTAAGTAAGCTTTTTGAAGACCAAGCAAATCCAAGTATGAATTACCACTGTACTCCCTATTAATCATGGCATCATTGAGAGCTGCAACTTGTGCAGCGGCTAATTCATTTGATCTCAAGTAGTGAAGATACAATGGGTCCAAGAGCGGTGCCTGCAGAGCATTTCCTGCATTTTGATTTCCCAATCTACTAAGATTCTGCAATTCTGCCACTGCAGCCATCAAATTTGGATTCAAAGCCAAACCTCCTGGCAAAGCTCTAGATTCCAAGCCAGTCCCTCCCATTGCAGACAGAGCAGCAGCGTTGTCAAATAAAGGCGGCAAAGTACCACTCCCAAGCTGGTTTCCTAGCATGGGAGGTGATGAAGGATTCATAGAAAAGCCACTTAAGCCATAGTTTGGAAATGCAGAATTTACATTATCCACATTCTGATGGTTCAGAGGACTTCCTACACCATTGAATGTGGGTGTAGAAGGTCCCTTTGGGTATGAATTAGCAGATTTACAGAGTTCAACGTGTCCATCAGCCATAAAAGAAGACTTCTTAAGGTCCATCCCACCTCCACTGATTTTACTCAAATTGATATAAGGTCCTTTTGCAGAATGAGCAGTAGAATGAAAATTTTCAGGTTCCAACTTATTCAAGTATGAATTTTGTTTGATATGCTTCTGATCAGCCTGCAAATTATTGAGATTATGATGGTCATCAATACCATGATGAGTCTGTGACTGTGAATGGTTCTCTTCATCTAACACATCATTTTTTGACAGATTCAAGCCAGACAAACCAGCAATCAGTTCTGCAGATTCACCTACAGTTGCTGAGACACCATTAAAACTGTTGGAACCAACACCATTGAATGTATTGGAACCAATTACACTTCTTTTGTCCATGGAACTAGACCTGCCACCAATGGGCGGAATGCAAGGACTAGGAGCTCTAGCTGCAAGTTGAGGATCAGGTGTGGTACTTCTTGACAAGGATACACCCAAAGCAGATGCATAAGTATGAGAAGCAGAGGAACCAACATTTTGGACCGAAGGCATTCCTGGTTTATTTGCACTAGAGCGTAAAGCATCAACAGATCCTAAATCATGATGCAGATTAGCAAATTGGACTTCAGAGCTTTCAATTCCATCATCAAATGCATTGCGGCTAGCCGGAAGAGATGGGTGCCTTGAGACATTCAGGGCATGATTCACATCATCCTGCATTTTGAAATTAAACCATAAAGCTAGTAGCAACAGAAAGAGAGAATGACAAGGAGAGAAGTAACATACATTTTCAAAATACCATCAACCAAAGCTCATAACAATAAGAATAAGTATACATTATGAGATGCACAAAAATAAATTATGCAGATGTGTCACTTGTTCAAGACATAAATTCAAAGAAAAACATTCTAAAAAAGACCTTAGGAATTGTCACTTCCAAAAATCGTATTCCACAAATGGAAAAAAATAAGTTATCATTATAGACAGTTAATCAGTTGTCAACATAGAAAAGGTCGCAATCACATCTTACTGGATAGAAAATGCTTAGGTACAATCACACATTTACTTTATGCATACACATGCATACATTGCAAACAACATCTGCATGAACTAAATTTGGAATAAACATTTCAATTAGATCCTAGAGGCTACAAGGAATTACATAGCAACTAATGAAATTTCCCAAATAAGCAGTAGAAGATAAAACCGCAATTGCACATTAAATATAAACATGATCAGATTAGCCATTTTGAAAGGTTATCACAGTGTGAGGAAGCTTATTTTCTGTTTAATGTCTCTTCACTCCAGGGGCAGAATCACTTCCGACCATGTTACAGCTCAAAGACACCACCGTCATACCACAAAAAGCCAATGGGACTAATGTTGTTAACTCTTTCTCTTTTCCTAAGATAAAAACAAGAACAACCTTCAATGCACATCATAGAACAATATTTGATTGGCAAACAAACTAACAGGTGCTAGCCATACAGGACATAATCCCACCAATATGCATCAGTTAATAGCAACCATAAGCAAAAGAGTACGTGAATTAATTCCCATTAGCTGTATCAACAGCTGAACTGATTCGATTTTATAGGATTTTCACTAAAAATAAGCAAAAAAAAAAAAAAAAAAAAGTTACAACCCAATACCACACAAAATTACTTAAAGACAATATAAAGCATTATTGAAAAAGCCAATTGTGAAAGCAAAGATGTGGAATGTCAAACCTGAAAACATATTCTGCCAGGAAAACACTGTCAAAAATTAAACACAAACAAGGTTCAAGTACGTAACGCTAACTTATTTTACATAAAGCACAGATAATACATTCCAAACTCCAACTTCCAATCAAATCACCAAATTACTACATGCTAAAGAATCACTAATCTCAAGAAATGCAAAACCAGAACAACTTCGACAACTATGAAGAAAACCAAACTTGACCAAAATCAAATTGAAGCAAACACTATCAATCCAAAACCAAACTCAAAAAGAATGTCAAAGAATACCAAATCATTACCTGAAAGATCTCACCAATCCTCTTCTGCCTACTTCCCAGACCCCCCAGCCCAGGTAACCCTATCAACCCGTCTCCTCCTCCCCACTTTACCCCACTACCACCACCATTCTCTTCCTTCTCTCCTCCAAACCCTGGCTGCACTGCAAAAAGTGACCTATTCCCGTTGCTCCCATTGTTCCCATTCCCTCCTTGCAACCTCTGAGCAAACCTCCAATCCTCTCTTGACAACAACGGAGGAGGCAGTCTTGGGTTCAGATTCCCATTAGAATAATAGTAGTTCACATATGCTGGATCAGCCCTGAGTTCTTCCTCACTCAAGAACCCACCTTTTTTGTTAAGCAAGCCACCAATTGAGTTCAATGAGCCCTCCACAGTAGGAGGAGCTGAACCACTTCTATAAATGTCCAGCTCTTTCTCTAGATCACTTGATATACTATTAGTTGCCGCATCTTGAAGCTTTTGGTCCCTAATAAGCTTCCCTAAATCCTCGTTAAAATCTGGGTTTTTCAGCATAGACATCATCTTTGAAGATGATAATCAACTCAAATTAATAAACTGAAAATGGGTTTGCTCCAAAGGCTCAAAAGCTTTGATTTTTGTGATCAAAACTAAGAACCCATTTCCTCAAGTATTGAAACTCAAAGCTGGGAATCAGCTAAAGATTGATAAAAACAGAAATGGGTTTTGCTTAAAAAGCTCAAAAGTTACAATTTTTGTGATCAAAACTAGAAATCCATTTCGTCAAATTTTATTTAAAAAAAAAGCCAAAACCAGAAAAATAATCAACGCTTTTTTTTTTTTTTTTGCTTTGAACGATGAGTGCATGAAAATTTACAGATTTATTTACAAAATTTAAAAGAAAAAAAAATCAGATTGGAAGTGAAGAAGAGAGTTAGTGTCAGAAGGTGGAGGCTTTTGCCACACTGAGAAAGTGAAAAACAGAGAGAGAAGAGTGATAAGCACAAACGGCGAAGAGATCTGAGCCGTTGGATGAAAAAGAATAACGGTACTAGCGGTTGATACCAAGGGGAGCGAGAACTTGTTTCTTACGAGTGACAAGAGAGAGTTTTTAGGGTTTTAATTTTAAAAAATTTTATTTTTATAATTTTTTAATTTTAATAAAAACGATGTATAAAAAAATATTATTATTACACATAAAATTTATTATCACATATATTATATACGTAATAAAATTTTAAATATTTTTACTTAAATAATTTTAAAAATACTAAATAAATAATTTACATATTAAATAAATAATTTTTTTAAAAAATCATATGTCATATATTATAAATTTCATGTATTATTCCCATATCATAAAAGATAATTTTATATTTTTCTATCCAAATACAAAATTCTTACATTTTTTAACGCCAACAAAATTTATAAAATTACAATTTTCTTTTCAATTTTTTTCTCAAAATTAAATAATTTAATAATTAAATATTTTAAAAATTAATTAATGTTTTATTATTTAAAAATTAATTGATTTTTTATTATTTAAATCTTTTTTAAAAAATATTTTTTGTTTATATATTTTAAACTTTTATACGTTTTTATATTTCAATTTTTTTATATCAAAAAAATTTGAAATAGTTAAGTTATTCATATTCTCAAATCTAATAATTAAAAAAATAATTATAAATTATGTATTTAATATAATTTCAATAAATAACCATCGAACAAACTTTAATTATACGAGTAAATCACTTGTTAGTTATATATTTCAATTTATTTTTTAATCTTTGAACTAAAAAATAAATAATATTAATTATTTTTTATACTTTAATAAAATATGTGATACTCCTCTCATTGTATTTTTAAAAATGTACAAAATATTTTTAAAATTCAAAAAAAAAATATTGATCTTCTTAGTGATATGCTGAACATCGTTATAAGTTGTCATGTTCATAGGCAATCCTTGTTTCGTATATTAAATTTTTCGTATCATTTTTCAAGGGATTAGCATCTCTACGTCATTTGATGGGCATAATGAAATCGTCTTGGTAACAACCACGAACCAAGTAGGCTCATTACCGGTCAAATGGAGAAATCTGTTTCATGTAGCTTGGTAGGGAAATTTTGAAGCATGGACACAAGGTCTTTTACATGTACGATCCATTGCTTATGTAATATAGACTCTTCGTATTGGTTAATCAGTTGTGAATGCTTTTATTAGCATGCGCTTTGATCCGATGAATATCGCTTACTCTCGTATACTTGTCAATAGTGTTATATAATGAGATTACGTAAGAAACAAAGAGAGGCTTATAGCTAAAGGTAGTTTGTTTAGTTTAAGTGGTAGGTAAAATATTAAAATTTATGTATTTGTTTTTTTATATTTTTTCGAAATATTAATTAAAATTCATTAATTCAGCCGGCGAAAAGATATAAGAGGATAAATTTTTAATATTTTTTAAATATTAAAAAAAGAATATATAAATTTGAAGAAATAAACAAAAGACACTGCAAGCACCGTAAATTATACGATTTACCCGACCAAACAAAAGATTGGTTGACGGTTTTATAGTATACAGTGATGTTGATGCAAATCCAATCAGTCATCAAAACTTTCGGCTGAGAGCACCGTCAAATGTAGCATAGAAGCAGTGTCGGTTAATCGTAAATTTGGATGATTCCTAACAATTGTTAATCATATAAAATATATATTATATTTCATATTTTTATATAAAATATAAATATATAATTTTATCTTATTAAATTTATTTATAATTTTTTAAATTTTAAATCATATTATTTTCATATTTTTTTATATTTTTATATAATATTATTTTATTATATTTTAAATTATTAAATTTACTTTTAAACGAAATCATTATGAATTTTTATTTTGTTTTATATAAAAATTATATATTATAATTTATATTAATATAAAAATTTTAAATATTTTTTATTTTTATTTAATTTATATTAATTTATATTTTTTATGTTATATTATTATATTAGGTTCTAAATTACCGACCCTATAGAAGCTACTTGAAATAACGAAAACATGTATAAGAAAATGATTTTTTCAAATAACAATCTGAGGAAGATATTTTCAACTTTTTCAACGGCTTGATATTTTATATTTAATAATAAAAAAGCACATATTATTGATTTTTTTTTTGCAAAATAATATTAAAAACATTTTGACACAAAAAAATTCTTTAGATAATTAAAATTAAATTATTTTTGTAATTTCCCAATATTTAACCGTATATCATTTTATTTTTTGTTACAGCTGAGTTTTATTTTACAGTAATTTTTAAGGAAGCAAAGAACAAACGGGAAAAACAGTTCGACTTGCCACTTGTAAAAGGGTTAACCAGTTGAAGAACTTTTGGGTTGGAACAGTTGGGCTTTGATGTCTAGAAAGTGGAAGGCATTTACAAAGTTAGGAGTTAAGACTAGAAACCCCACGATGGGGTCCCACAGGTCATGATTTCCTATCACTAGCCCACGTATTAGGCTTATTAGTCAAGATGAAAGTAGACTAGGTCTGTTTTAGTTGGAAACCAACCAAATATCCCACATTGCTTAGTTACAGAACAGTAAAACCCTTTAACTAGGAGATGAAGCAATGCACGGCTGTCCCTTCGGGGACATCCGATAAAATTGGAACGATACAGAGAAGATTAGCATGGCCCCTGCGCAAGGATGACACGCACAAATCGAGAAATGGTCCAAATTTTTTTCTGATTTTTTCCTTAAATTTTCCTCTCGTTTTGTATTCTTACAACTCAGCCTACTTTGATGTTAATTTTCATGGGTTTTGCTCACTTCAGATTGCAATTCCGTCTGTTTATCTGTTTTCTTTACATTTTTATCTTTAGTTTGATTTTTTCTTTCACGGGTTTTGCTCACAATTTAGAGTCTCCCTGAGTTTTTCATGGTCTGGTCTCTTGAACAGTGAATACCTCAATATCCATTATTCAGAATTTTTTTATAATTTTTTCCTTAAATTTTCCTCTCATTTTGTATTCTTACAACTCAGCTCTCGTTCTCTGTTATCTGTACGTTTTTATGCCCACTTTGATGTTAATTTTCATGGGTTTTGCTCACTTCAAATTGCAGTTCCATCTGTTTATCTGTTTTCTTTACATTTTTATCTTTAGTTTGATTTTTTCTTTCACGGGTTTTGCTCACAATTTAGAGAGTCTTCCTGGGTTTTTCAAGGTCTGGTCTCTTGAACAGTGAATACCTCAATATTCATTATTCAGATTTGATATTCTTTTTGTTGTCAGAAGTTTGCTATAATTATCTTATGCTTTGATATCCATATAACTGTAATCATTGATCAAATAATTGCCCTTATAAATCATGTTTGTCCAATGAAAATGCTGATATTCACATGCAACATTATCTATGTTGCATAAAATGCTTAGTCTTTTTGTTTAATTACGGTCATTCTGATTTTAAGGTTGCTTAAAAACATGTGCATGGATGTCTTTTCCAAGCATAAACCAATGTTTTAGTTTGTACACCTACTAACATATTCTACCGATGATTTCCTTTAGATCCTGCTTGCATTGTTTTGGTGTTATATAATGTGATGTCAAAGAGTTTTGATGTTCTGAAATTGATGATGGGTCTTGATAGAATTTTCTCCTTGTTGGTGATAAGTTAACTGATGCATTAGCTCTACTGCAGTTGAAAGCTCAAAGCTTCTGGAAAGCGACTGTTCATTGATTATTCAGCTTGATGATCTGAAAAAAGAATTGGATGAAAAGGTGGATGAATTGCAATGTATGGATAACTTAAACCAAACTCTTTTACTTAAAGAGCTTAAAAGTTCATCTTATACAGAGAAATGCTAACCCTCTCTATTTGACTTATGCTACATTTTACACGAAGCAATTCTTTGTATTTTTTTTCTTTTTTCTAGTACAAAATTCAAGTGGTACCAATTTATTGATGAACTGATTTATATATTACTACAATATAGGGTTTGCTCACAATTTAGGGAGTTTTGAGAAATAAACCAAATTTTTTTGGTTTTGCTCACAATTTAGAGAGTTTCGAGAAATGGACCAAATTTTTTCCTTAAAATTTCCTCTCATTTTGTATTCTTACAACTCAGTTCCCGTTCTCTGTTATCTGTACATTTTTTTTTTGCCTACTTTGATGTTAATTTTCATGGGTTTAGCTCACTTCAGATTGCAATTCCATCTGTTTATCTTTTTTTTTTTTTTAACATTTTTATGCTTAGTTTGATTTTTTCTTTAATGGGTTTTGCTCACAATTTGGAGAGTTTTCCTGGGTTTTTCATGTTCTGGTCTTTTGAACAATAAATACCTCAATATCCATTATTCGGATTTGAGATAGTTTTTGCTGTCAGAAGTTTGCTGGAATTATCTTATGCTTTGATAACTGTAATCATTGAACAAATAATTGTCCCTTGTAAATTATGGTTGGCCAATGAAAGTGCTGATACTTGCATAAAATGCTTAGTCTTTTTGTTTAATTATGGTCATTCTGATTTCAAGGTTGCTTAAAAACATATACATGGATGCCTTTTCCAAGCATAAACGAATGTTTTAGTTTGTACACGTACTAACATATTCTACTGATGATTTCTTTTAAATCCTGCTTGCATTGTTTTGATGTCATATAATGTGATGTCAAAGAGTTTTGATGTTCTGAAATTGACGATGGGTTTTGATAGAATATTCTTCTTGTTAGTGATAAGTTAAACTGATGCATTAGCTCTTTTGCAGCTGAAAGCTCAAAGCTCTCTGGAAAGAGACTGTGCATTGATTGTTCAGCTTGATGATCTGAAAAAAGAATTGGAAAAAGGTGGATGAATTGCAATGTGTGGATAACTTAAACCAAAATCTTATACTTAAAGAGCGTATAGGTTTGCAGACTTTTGTAATTCTCAAATCAAGATTGGAATTAAAAGGTTGGGAGAGGTTGATCCTGAACCTTTTAAAGATTTATGCGAAGTTCTGTGGAGATTAGGAGCTGAAATCCACTGAATTATGCTGGCAATGGCAGAACCTTGTTATAAAGTCAGAGTGGTATCCTTTCAAGAAGCAGCTAATAATAGATGGGAAGAGTATCAGGTTGTGTTTTATTGCTGCCTAATAGATTCATACGTCTCAGGGACCTTAATTATCGCTGCAGCCTGCATGGTTTCATGAACTAGGCAAAGTTGTGTCGATTGTATGCCACTGCAGATGGTTATTCCCTAAATTGCTCTTATGTTATTGATGCCTTAATGCTAGGAATTATATTCGAATGTAGTGAATTCCCATCAATCATCTTCAAGCATATGAACACAAGTCCTGTTATAAATGATACATTGGCTGTATGACTGCTTAAAAATTTGTATGAATCATATATGGCATGGATGAACTAAGTGAACCTGATGTGATAACATGAAAAAAGGATTAATGATAAACTAGAGATCTCCATACTTAATGTGCAGAATTTGATTTCAATTTTTCATGTACTGAATCCATTTGTATATTCTGTAGGAAATTATCAACTGTGAAGACATTATGTTGAAGGAGTGGGGTGATGAGGTTTGCAAGGCTGTATCTAATGTATTGCTGGAATTAAACGAGTACAATGGAAGTGGGAGATACAGTTCTCGAGCTTTGGAACTTCAAAGTGGGAATAAAAGCCAGCCTGAAAGATGCAGTTGAGTGCATCATCCAAGAATTGAAGACCCAAAAATCTCATAAACGTAGAAGATGACAAAGCCATCTATGCTTGGCCTTTAATCTTTCACCATTACTATTTCTGAAATCAACCCAATATTCCAAGTTGTAATTATGTAAAAATGAATTAATCAAAGCCAATCTCAACCATGGAATAAAGCTATTTTGGTTTGTTTTTAACCCCCTTAATGCTAATGCAACCATGAAACGGTCCAGCCTCCTTCGGTAAAATTTATCGGCTGGGGATTGATGTATCGCATTCAGTCCGGTCGTCAGATTGAGATACGTCAACAGCCCACGTGTGGGTTTTTACATGAATTGAAAGGGTCCCACTACCCATGGTTTTGTGCCATCCCAAAGACTCAACCAGCCCACGGGTTGGGCTTTACTCTCTATGACTTGAACTAGCTAGTTTAACTTTTAGTTGGAAACCAACCACATATCCCACATTAGTTAGGACTACAAGAATAAAAGCTTTTATATAACAGAAACCATGCGGAACGATCGTCCCTTCGGGGACATCCGATAAAATTGGAACGATACAGAGAAGATTAGCATGGCCCCTGCGCAAGGATGACACGCACAAATCGAGAAATGGTCCAAATTTTTTTTCTAACTTTTTCCCTGAATTTAATTTTTGCAGGTCAGTTTCCTCTGTTTTCTTTGCATTTCCATCTCTTTTGCTGTTTTCTTTGCATTTTTATGCCTAGTTTGATATTAATCTTCATGGATTTTGCTCCCTAAATTTTTGCAGTTCAGTTTACGTCTTTCTCTATTTTCTTTGCATTTTTATGCTTAGTATGATATTCATCTTCATGGGTTTTGCTCATTTCAGATTGCAATTGAGAGCGTTGTTCTACGTTTGGTCTGTTTTACTCTCTTAAACAGTGAATAACTCAATATCTGTTATTCAGATTTTAAATAGTTTTTGCTGAGAGTTTACTGAATTAGCTTCTTCTTTGTATATTGTAAGTTCAATATAGCTATGGAAATTTTTGGCAGTTGGTAGAAGAGAGTACATCTTACTTGGTTATGTTTCAACTTTAAAGGGTCCTTCCATTGTCAGACGTAAAATTTTATCTATAGGGAATCTGTTTATAATTGGGTTATTCAATCAATTGAACAACTAATTGCCGTTGTTGATCAGGGTTGGCCAATGAGAGATTGGAAAATTTTGGTTTTGACAAAGAAAAAGAGACGTTTTTATGATTAAATTGTAAGGTGCTAGCTGGTTTGTCCTTGATGTAAAGTATGAAATTTCATGGATGCTAAATATTCTGGCTTTGTGTAGAAAATGGATTTTGTCATTTTTCTCATATCACTTGGTCTTTTAACTCTTGGATTCATTCTAAAGCTATGCAATTTGGACAATGTGATATTGAATAGAATTTCTATACGCAGTGATGGTCAATTTGCTTGTCATTTAGTGCTAATTTTCTGATATATTTACCAGCATTGAAGGAAACTAATGTTGCAGGATGAATTAGAATTTTGGAACCATTAAGGATGTGCTTTCAGGACCTGAAAAAAGATGTTAATTAAGATATTTCTGTTATGGTAGAAACTTCATCCTCTTGTTTTGCTCCTACCTTTTCTTCTTTTTCTTTTATGAAACTCTCAGGAAAGCTACAGCCTTTAAGATGATGCACTTATCTCTTTGGATGATCTAAAGGTTTTTTGTTTATCTAAAGAAGCAGGAGAAATCTACCATTGGAATACGGAAGTGCAGCAGTAGAAGAAGCAGACAAAAGAAGCAAACAAAGCTAAACAGTCAAACCAAAAGTGAAACATGTAAACTCTAGTTGATGCAGAGGGCTTTGATTGTGTGTGAATGAGGTTAAATATTTTGAAGACAGCTTGTTTTGGTCTGAACTGAAATCCCACATTGATATTTTAGCAAGGAATGAGAAGGTGCTTTTGCAGCTTTTCTCTTCAGGGATATCCAATAAAATTGGAACGATACAGAGAAGATTAGCATGGCCTCTGCGCAAGGATGACATGCACAAATCAAGAAATGATCCAAAATTTTTTTTTAACTTTTTCCCCGAATTCCTGCTAGTCAGTTTCCATCTTTTTCTCTGTTTTTTTTTTTTTTTTTTTTTTTGCCTTTTTTTGTGGTCAATATTTGGTATACTTAAGTGTTAGAATTTGCTAAAATTTTTCATAAAGATGAAACTATGTTTTTGTTCTTGGTTACTATATTTGAGACTTGGAAGTTTATTGCTGAATGAACTCCAGCAATTTAGTACTTCATTTGTATCTTTGTATGTACCTGATTTTTTGAGGACCCATTTTCAATCTTGTTACTTTTCTGTCTTTTTTATGCTCATCTTACTAAGTTCAGCTCTGACTTTCAGGATTAACATGCCTTGTTGCAAGACATTTATGAAAACTTGACCTGAATTCTTATAAATAGTCTTGTCTGCCTGCATTTACGTAGAGAAATTGTGAATCCTCTCTTCACATACTTGAAAAATTGTTGCATAATGGAGCTTTTCTAACTCTTTGGCACGAGCTGCCCATATTTTTGGTGCATTGACAAACTCAGTTTATGAGGTCCACTTTTTCTATCCAAGCAGAAGTTTCACTTCTATCCTATTGGACGACTTGAACAAGGGTAGCAACCACAAACCAATAGAACAAGGGTTACCTCCGCAACTGTTCCACAAGCAAGGTAAGTAGGTCCATTACCAATCGTCTCCGAAAATCTGTTTCATGTAACTTGGCAGAGAAATTTTGAGGTATGGGTATAGAATCCTTTACGTGTTAAGACCGATTGTTCATGCAATTTGGGATCTTCACATTGGTCAACCAGTTTTGAAAACTTTTATTAGGGGATGCTCTTGATCCAGTAAATATCGCTTACTCTGATGTGTTTATCAGTGCTGGTATACAATCGGGTTGTGTAGGAAGAAGGAAAAGAGGCTCCTAGCTAAAGGTAGCTTGTCTCGCCCAGGGGGTGAGAACTGTTGAGAACAAAGTGGCGAACGGGTGCGTAACGCGTGGGAATCTGCCGAACAGTTCGGGCCAAATCCTGAAGAAAGCTAAAGAGTGATGTTTGGTGAGCTTACGAAGTATTAATTGTAGTTTTACCAATATGTTCTTCAATTTTCCTTTTTTCTTTTTTCACAGAAGAAATAAGTTAATTAAGTAATAGATCATGTGTATATACATATTGGAACTCCTTATGATAATTTATGCCTTTCGTTATTATCTTTATTAGATGATCTGTTAATTCAGCCGATGAAAAGATTATAAATATTTGAAATAATAAAAAAGAATATTTAAATTTGAAAAAAAAAATACAATAGATATGGCAAGCATAGGTATCTTTTAATTTAATTAAATTTATTTTTATTTTTTATTATATATTATATTTTAAATTATCGAATAACTATTTGAAATGAAAAAAATTATAAGAATGATTTTCTTAAATAACAAAAAGAATGAGAGGAAGATATTTTCAACTTTTTAAACGGCTTAATATTTTATATTTAATAATAAAAAGGCATATATTATTGATGATTTTTTTTTTTTTTTGCAAAAGAATTAAAAATATTTTGACACAAAAAATTTCTTTAGATAATTAAAATTAATTTATTTTTGTTATTCCCCAATTTTTAACGGTATATGATTTTATTTTTTGTTACGGTCTAGCTTTATATTACAGTAATTGTCAAGGCAGCAAAGAACAAATGGTGAAAAACTTGCCAATTGTAAAAGGGCTAATCAGGTGAAGAACTTTCGGCTTGAAACGTTGGGCTTTGATGTCTCGAAAGAAGAAACCATTTACAAAGTTAACAGTTGACCCTTGAAGACTCCACGAAAGGGTCCCAGAGGCCCATGATTTCGGATCACTGGCCCACGTGTTAGCCTTATTAGTCAGGATGAAAGTAGACTAGTTCGGTTTTAGTTGGAAACCAACCAAATATCCCACATTCATCAGTTACGGAACAGTAAAACCCTTTATATAGCGGAAAAAAGCTAAGCAATGGTTGTCCCTTCGGGGACATCCGATAAAATTGGAACGATACAGAGAAGATTAGCATGGCCCCTGCGCAAGGATGACACGCACAAATCGAGAAATGGTCCAAATTTTTTTCTTTTTTTTATTCTTACAACTCAGCTCTCGTTCTCTGCAATCTGTACATTTTTATGCCTACTTTGATGTTAATTTTCATGGGTTTTGCTCACTTCAGATTACAATTCCATCTGTTTATCTGTTCTCTTTACATTTTTATGCTTAGTTTGATTTTTTTCTTTCATGGGTTTTGCTCACAATTTAGAGAGTTTCAAGAAATGGACCAAATTTTTTCCTTAAAATTTCCTCTCATTTTTGTATTCTCTGTTATCTGTACATTTTTTGCCTACTTTGATGTTAATTTTCATGGGTTTTGCTTACTTCAGATTTCAATTCCATCTGTTTATCTGTTTTCTTTACATTTTTATGGTTAGTTTTATTTTTTCTTTCGTGCGTTTTGCTCACAATTTAGAGAGTTTTCCTGGGTTTTTCATGTTCTGGTCTTTTTAACAGTAAATACCTCAATATCCAGTATTCAGATTTGAGATAGATTTTGCTGTCAGAAGTTTGCTGGAATTATCTTATACTTTTATAACTGTAGTCATTGATCAAATAATTGTCCCTTGTAAATCACGGTTGGCCAATGAAAATGCCGATGTTCACATGCAACATTATCTATGTTGCATAAAATGCTTAGTCTTCTTGTGTAATTATGGTCATTCTGATTTCAAGGTTGCTTAAAAACATGTACATGGATGCCTTTTCCAAGCATAAACCAATTTTTAGTTTGTACACTTACCAACATATTCAACTGATGATTTCCTTTAGATCCTGCTTGCATTGTTTTGGTGTTATATAATGTGATGTCAAAGAGTTTTGATGTTCTGAAATTGATGATGGGTCTTGATAGAATTTTCTTCTTGTTAGTGATAAGTTAAACTGATGCATTAGCTCTCTTGCAGTTGAAAGCTCAAAGCTCTCTGGAAAGAGACTGTGCATTGATTGTCCAGCTTGATGATCTGAAAAAAGAATTGGATGAAAGGTGGATGAATTGCAATGTGTGGATAACTTAAACCAAAATCTTATACTTAAAGAGCGTATAGGGTTTGCAGGACTTTTGTA